GCCTTAGAACAGGGAATGTCAGACTGGGAAGGCTCTTAGAACAGGGAATGTCAGGGCTGGGAGGAGCTTTAGAACATGGATGGTCAGTGCTGGGGTCTTAGAGATCATTTAATTCAATTTATTCATTTGCAGCTGAGGAAGCTGAGGCCCAGAGAAGTTGTCTCGTACCCGAGCTGGGAGGGCTCTCAGAACAGGGAATGCCAGGGCTGAAAAGGACCCTAGAATATTGGTATAGTTGAAGGAAGGACAGAGTTAGCAGACTTGGGTTTGAATCCCAGCTCGGTCACCCTGTAAAAGGAGGCAGCTGGAGCAGTCATCGAGAGAGGCTTGTGTCCTGGTGCCCTGAGCTGGGGGTCTTGGCTGGGTCAGTGCAGGAAGGGCCCTTTGGCAGGAAGGCAGGTATAGGTCAAGCAGGAACCCCAGAGTCTCTGAGCTGGAAGGAGCTCGTTCGAGGGGACCGTCTTGACCGGACGATCCTGAACAAGCAGGAAGATGGACCCCGCAGAGCCTTGCTGTCCTCGAGACTCTGAAGAGACAAAGTTCTTCATTCTGCTTTCTCCACCCCAGGTTACCAGGCTCCACCGGACAGGAGCCCTCTCAGGGCAGGCATTGGGCCCCATTCTGAAGTGGCCAGCGGACAGCCAGGCTTGGAGGTGGGCAGCTTCATGCTCAGAGAAGAGCAGTTGGCACCCCTAGAGTGTGTCCTTCCACGAAGGTAGAGTAACGGAAGTGGGGTCACCCAGGCTTTGGGGCCATGCTCCCTATGAGAAAGGTCCCAGCTGGCCCTCTGTTCATGTCAAAGGAGACATGTTTGCGGCTTCAGGCGCTCCCTCCAGTGCATCCCAGGGAGAGAGGACAGAGGCGGCCTGTCCAAGTGGCATCCTTCCTGGGCAAAGCCAAGCTCAGGCAATAGCAGGGTCTGCTTGTCTCTGGCTTCTTAATTACGTGAATCCGGCCCGATGTGTGGACGTATTCCTCAGAGGTCACCAGACCCATTCTACACACACGCCCATAGAGATGGAAAGTGAGACCCAGAGAGGTCGTGGTCCTGGCCAAGGTCACAGAGGCAATAAGTGGCCGATGTGAGATTTGAACCCAAGACTTCTGACTCCGTACCCAGGGAAGCCTGATCCTTCCTAGGCCTGGAAGCTGGTATAAGACACTTAGAGTAAGTTGAATTAAATGCACTGACCATCCATGTTCTGAGCTTCCTCCCAGCTCTGACATCCCCTGTTCTCAGGCCCCTCCCAGCTCTGACATCCCCTGTTCTAAGGCCCCTTCTAGCTCTGACATCCCGTGTTCTGAGCTTCCTTCCAGCTCTGACATCCCATGTTCTAAGGCCCCTCTCAGCCCTGGCATCCCCTGTTCTCAGGCCCCTCCCAGTTCTGACATTCTGTGTTCTAAGGCCCCTCCCAGCCCTGACATCCCCTGTTCTAAGGCCCCTCTTAGCTCTGACATCCCCATTCAAGCCCAGCTGGTTCCTTGCCTCCTGTCTTCTCCCCTGCAGGGGAATATTTCGGGGTTTGGCTGAAGGCTTGAATACCCGACCCTTCTCCCTGGGACTCATTGGACACAGGGAAGGGGGAAACTCGAGGTTGACGTCCTTGCTCTGACCCTGAGTCTGCACTTGGACGCGTGACCAGGGTCACACGGCTGGTCCGTGTCTGAGGCAGCCCTTGAGCCAAAGTCTTCTTGACCTGACAGATTGAACACTGTCGTCACGTGCCATCTTGCTCACTCTGGGCCTCAGTTTCTTTATCTGTATCTCACCCTTTCCTGTTCTGGGAAAACCAGGACGAGACCCAGGCAAAGGGCAGCCCTCTGAGAGCTTGCACCCCAGCGAGTGGGGTCGGGGTGGAACATCCCGTGTACCTGTGAGCAGATACGAACACGTGTGACGTGTTGGGGGTAGGGCACAGCACCTCTCCTGGGCCTCTGGCAGGTGGTCGGTGGGAATCACCACAGCTCTGCTTTGTCCGTTTGGTTTCCCTGAGCATTTCTTCACAATACACCCTGATGTGGACCAGCGTGTCTGTTCCCATTGTGTGGAGGAGGAAACTGAGTCTTTTAGAGCCTGCTCACAGCGCGTCTCCAAGGGCCAATTCCAGTGAGATGATGCTTTGCCAATCTCGAGGCCAGACATAAAGGTCCGTTCGGGTTATCCCCAGCCTGTGAGATGGCTCCACATGGCTGTGCAGAAAGCCCTTGGTGAGGGGCAGCTAGGTGGCACAGTGGATAGAGCACCGGCCCCGAAGTCGGGACGACCTGAGTTCAAATCCGGCCTCTGACCAAACACTTGACATGTACTAGCTGTGTGACCTTGGGCAAGTCACTTAACCCCAATTGCCTCACCAAAAAAAAAAAAAAAAAAAAGAAAGCCCTTGGTGGACTGTGATTCTTCAGGCATGGGCTGATCAGCCCTTCACTCGAGCAGATTGCAACCCCTCCCTGCTGAGGTCCAGGTGATGTTGGCCGTTAGCGGTGGCAGACAGACCCAATCCCTTCCCACCAGACGGAGCCGGTCAGTCTTTGGGCTTTCCGGTGCTCCATTCCAGGGCTTTCCAGCTGCTCCCCTCACCCAGCCTTTGAGGGAGCTCCGGGACCCGAGCACCACTGGGGCACAGAAGGCAAGCCCAGTGGAGGTAGGCGCCTTCTGTAACCAGCAGAACGTGAGTGACTGTTGTTGTTTTTCAGTTCATCAGAGATGGTGCTGGAGAAACCCTCGAGTCCCCACCAGGCTTCTGTCCTGGGCCAGCCCCAGGCTTTGGAATGTGGCCAGGTGAGGCTCCCCAGCAGGCGCTGGGTCCTTATGACTGAGGCACTTGGAGTTCAGAACTCTCCTTGACCCCATCCCACTGCGAGGGACAGCTGGGTCTTCTTCCTGCGAGCTCCCTGTTCCCCACTTATTATTATTAACCCTGAGGATAGACCTTTGCAGTCTCAGGGAACCCAGGGCCCATCCAGCCCCTCCCCAGAATGCCCTTGGGTCCTCAGGCCCCCTGTCCCCTCCTCACAAGGAGATGCTGACTCTCAGAAACAGGAAGGACCTCAGCCGCAATCCAGACCAAGCCCTCTTGCCTGGATCCCCACTATGCGTGCATACCTCTGAGGAGCGGGAAGCTCACCACTTTCTGGTAGCCTTTTTGGTCTTGGGGCAGCTGTCATTATCAGGGAGCTTTTCCTGACGTCCATCTAAAGCAGCCTCTGTCTCTTCACTCCTGGCGGAGAGAGACTGGCTCGCTGCTGTTGCAGCACCTCTCACAGTGCCCGGCACATAGTAGGTGCTTAGTAAAGGGAAGCGATGTAAGTGAACGGTGTAACGGCCGTTCTCCTGTCCGACCCTGACCAAACCCTTACTCCCTTCTTTGACCCTGTGTGAGTCCTTCTCCACAGAAGGAGTGTAAGCTCCCTGTGGGCAGGGGCCAGGACGCAGCCTTCTTTCTACCCTGCAGAACCACCTGGCCCCTGCAGGAAACCCTGGAGCCACTCTGGGTGGCCTGGATGCGATGGACGAGGAGAAGGTGGAGAGCACTCCTGTACGGATGAGTATAGCGGCACTATGGGGGGGGGGGCCGGCGGTCGGGGCCTGGTGGGCTGGGGGACAGAAGCCGTGGCCTGGTGGGAGCCCTGCTTTCCCTTCCCTGTGCATTTGTCCCTGGAGAGCGAGACGTCTGAGCTGGCTTCCCCCCTGCTCCTGGGCAAAAGGGGAACAGGTCCTGGTTCCTCTAAAAAGGAAAGAGGAAAGTCTGGCCTGTTGGTTCCCCCGGCCCAGTCTCATTGTGCCCCTGCCTCAAAGCCCCGGGTACAGATGCTGGAGTTCAGGAAGCTGGCACCGCTCCCTCGTCCGTGGCTCAGAGCCCATTTGGAGAGCTCTCCGGCTCTTACCAATCGGACAATGAGCAATTATTAGGCACCTACTGTGTGCTCAGTACTGTGCAGGGCATTGGGGAGACAGGCATCCCAAAAAGCCTTTCAAAAATAAAACCATCTTGGGGCAGCTAGGTGGCGCAGTGGATAGGGCACCAGCCCTGGAGTCAGAAGGACCTGAGTTCACATCCGGCCTCAGACACGTAACACTTACTAGCTGTGTGACCCTGGGCAAGTCACTTAACCCCATTGCCTAGCCAAAAAAAAAATAAATAAATAAAACCATCTTGTCCTCTGAGAGCTTACATTCTAGGGGGCATATGACATTCAATTCAATAAGCATTTATTAAGCGCCTACTGTATGCCCAGCACTGTGCAGAGCTTTGGAGAGACAAAGACAGAAATGAAAGTGTCCTTTTTCTCAGGATTTTTACATCCTAGGCTTTCAGATTCACAAATCACTTTCCCCTGTGAAGCAAGTAGATCAAGGGTTATTATCATTTCCATTTTCCAGATGAAGAAAGTGAGGCCCTGAGAGGGGATTTGGTCACTGAGTTAGGCAATGTCAGAGCTGGGATTTGAACCCAGTTCCCCTGATTGGCTCCAGAGCCCTTTCCACTGGGCCGCTGCAGACTTAAGGTTTTTTAGAGTGGGAAAACACCCGAGAAATCTAGTCTGCCTCCTGGCATTTCTTCTCACCCAAACTCCTCATTGTACCCAATGGAGGCTGAGGGGTGGCCAGGCCAAAGTCGGAGGCCGAGGGGTGGCAAAGCTGGGGCCTGAATCAGGGGATCTGGGCCCCAGCCTTACTCCTTCCTGCCTCCCCCCACCTGCTGGTCACGCCCCTGAGGTCTGGCTTGGAGGCTGCCCGGGAGCCCTGTCTTCAGGTAGGGCCAGAACTTAGGGCATCACAGATTGAGGCTCAGAGGCCTAACCCTCCCATTTTACAGATGATGTAAACTGAGGCTCAGAGAGAGATGCCAACTTGCTTGGGGTTCCCCTCGGTCCAGGACAGAGGCTGGCCTCTAGACTCTTGCACCCAGGAAACCCTGCACTTTCTTCCTTGGCTGTCAAAGCCCTGGGGAGGCAGCCAGGCTCTAAGGACACCTTTCACTGACCAGCACCTGAGCTGCCCCTGGATTTGGAACCTAGAAGTGGAGATTTTCTGGGTGGCTTCTGTCTGGGGAGGCCTTTATGTGCTGTGCTTGGGGCCCCCAGGAGAGGGGCCCTCATGTACTAGGCGTGGGCCCCCAGGAGGGGGGCAGTTCACGTGTTGTGAATGGGACCCCCAGGAGAGGGGCCCTCATGTACTATGAATGGGGCCCCCAGGATGGCCAGTCCATGCCCCGGTCTGCTTTGCTTTTGGTTTTCAGACATCCTGGGCACAGTGATGGGAAGATTCCTGGGCAGGGCCATAGGGGCTGACGCTGATGGGCACTTTAGGCTTGTTTCCATGGCTTTGGGTCCACATCTGTTCCAGGGAAGGCCAAGGGCAAAGCTACTGGTGCACTTACTCCAGCTTTACAGATGGGGAAACTGAGGCTCAGAGATCCTAACACTCCTGGGACGTCAGACTTCTTCAGGAAGTGGAAGAGCTGAAAGGAGGAAGCCCTGACTCGACTTCCCTGTCTGTGCCCATGGAAGAGGGGGGCCTGAGAACAGGGGATGTCAGGGCTGGGAGGGGCCTTAGAACGGGGGATGTCAGGGCGGGGAGGGGCCTGACAGCCAAACAGGTTCTAATACTGGTTCTGCCCCCAACTTTCCATGTGACCTTGGCCAGGTCCCTGGCTTCCTTTGGGCCTCAGCTGAATTTCCAATGAGGGGTCCGACCTGCTGGCCTTTCACGCCCCTTCCTCATCTCAGTTCTCCAGAAGGCTGTGGTTCAGCGGCAAGGGCCCTGGCTTAGATAGGAGAGGCTTGGAAGAGGGGATTGCTGGTGTCCCCTCCCTGCTCCATAGCTGACGGGGTGGGCTGGAATCAGGAAGGCCTGAATTCAAAACCTGCCTCTGATACTAGCTGTGTGACCCTGAGAGCCCTTTCCCCTCCCTGGGCCTCAGTTTCCTCGACTGGGGCGATGGCCTCTCAGACCTCTTCCAGCTTTCGCGCTGTTGGGCCCCTGCAGGCTTATCTCAGCCACCCCTCTGGCTCAAGCAGGAGTCGCCCCATGCTGCTGGCCCCAAAGAGGCGCTATCTCATTGTGAATGGCCTCCTCCTTCCTCTCTGTGGCTTGGCAAGGGGAGCGACCCCTTTCCTGTGCCCCTCTGGCCTGGGCTGGTCCCCCGGGCATTTGTTTTGTAAAAAGGGGTGGAGGAAGGAGATTGGGGTGAGGGGGAGAGGGGTCGATTTGATGGGAGGGCCGTGGGGACTGCCTCCGTAGCAGCATCTCCAGGAAGGGCCCTTCTCAGAGCCCACACGAGCTTATCAGACCCTTGCCACCACCCAAAGAAGGGTTAGTAGCTTCATTTCACAGATGGATAAACTGAGGCCTGGAGAGGGTTAGGAACATGGCCCAGGGTCACACGGCTAGTGGAGGGTAGGGCAAGGATTGGAATCCAGTAGCATGTAAACAGACAGTATGCTTCTTGACTCTGTACCCTCAGCACCCAACAGTACCAGGCATGTAGCAGGGACTTAGTAAGTGTTTATTGGATTGAATCTAAGCTGGGTCTCCCAGTTTCTTTTCAGGTGTCTTGAGAAGGCAGGAAGACCTGGGGTCAGATTCTTCCTTTGATGTGTGACCTTCCTGGATGTGTGACCCTGGCCACGTCACTTAGCATCTCACTGGTCTAGGTCACTTAGCATCTCACTGGTCTAGGCAGCTCCCTGAGGCTCGGCTTAGTGTAAACACTGAAGAGATTCTATATGTTGATTCATTCATTGATTCATAAGTTGTAGAGAGGATGACAGTCTGAATTGGCAGAGGGAGTGTCCTCCTCTGGACTTGCCAATATCTATGAAATCCCGGTGGTGCCATCGCTGTCCCCCTACCCTCCTGACCCCCAGTCTGCCCTCTGCCCGGCTGTTCCCCGTCCACCCTGACTGGAAACGAGAGGCAGATGGGGCTGCCTTCTGTCCTGGGCAAATATCTCTAAGAAACTGGGTCCGTGGAAGGAGGAACGGAGTGAGAATTAAGTAGGCTTGTCCAAAAGCGGGAAGAACTTGGCTGTTGGTGGGTAGTGAGCTCCCCATCTTTAGAGGAGTGGTTTGGGCTCCTAGTTAGGGATTCTGCAGAAGAACCAGAAGGTACCTTCAAGGCCGTTTAGTCTCCCCTCTCCCCTTTACAGGCGAGGAAACATGAACCTCAGAGATGTCAGGTGATTTAGTCAAGGTGACACGGGCAGTCGGGGGCAAGGGCAGAGTTTGAAGCCAGGTCTTCTGACGAGCATCACGTGCTCTAGGACTCTAGCTTGGACGCTGGCTGCCCCCTGAGGTCCTTTCTGGGGCAGCGCTTTGGGGATTCAGGGCAGCTGGGCCTGAGCCGAAGCTGCTCAGCTCCGTCCGCGTCATGCGGCATCGTGGGAGGTCTGGGTCATCTCTTGGTGACCCTCCGGTGTCTTGGGCGGAGCTCACCGTGGGGGAAGGGGGCAGCCAGGGTGGGGCCAGACTGCCACAGACGGGACGGGACACAAAGTCTTTGGTAGAAGAGAAGGGACGTCATTAATCTCATTACAATTGCCCACATTACCAGGCGTGTCTGGCACATAGTAGGCGCTTAAGAAATGAACTGAATCGGGGCAGCTAGGTGGTGCAGTGGATAGAGCTCTGGGCTTAGAGTCAGGAGGAACAGAGTTCAAATCCAGCCTCAGACACTTGACACTAGCTGTGTGACCCTGGGCAAGTCACCTTTGCCTTACCAAAAACCAAAAAAAACACAAGGAATGAACTGAATTGATGTGAAAGGAATGAATCGATAAAGGTGTCCCTTGCTTAGACCCAAGGAGGGGGAGGGGTTCAAATGACCTCCCCAACAGGACGTTCTGCCAGAGACTGGTGTGGCCCTAGCATGGGGTGGGGCCTGGCACAGGGAGAGGGCTTTCTTATAAATGCATCCACTACTCACTACATTGACTTGGGAATCCTCTCTCGGAACCTGTTTCATCATCTGTAAAATGGGGCTATTCTGAGAATCAATTGAAGGCATGGACAGATAGAAAAGGCTTTGCAAAGTGCCAGCGAATGGTCAGCGATGAAGCCCTAGGCAGCAACCCTGGCCGTCAGCCTCGACAGGATTCTGTCGCAGGGTTGTTTTCCCTGGCAGGTATCGGGTACGAGCTGTGACAATCTGACGGTCTGGAGGTGATATGGAGGGTCTACTTTCTAGTATCTGGGACCATAGGATTGGGGCTGGGACGGGCCTCAAGGACAAACCCTCTGATTGTGGGTCCCCAAGACTCTTCCCATCATCCCAGGCGTCTCCCAGAGCCAGGAGGGACTTTGGGGTACAGGGGAGGAAACAAAGGCTGAGAACGTCTAAATGACATCCTGGGGCCGGTGAGCATCAGCTGGCTTGTAGGATGTCCAAACTGGAGGGACCTGAGGGACCAGACTTCCTCATTTGACAGTTTCAGAGAGGGGAAGGGGCCTCCCCAAGAGGGCACAGCCTGAGACAACTCTGTGTCTGCTGTTCCAGGTTACAGGGGACTCTGAACAGACCTCCAGCGACACTTTCTGGGCCGCCCTGCTGTTGTTTGAATTCTCGGGGGGCAACCGGGTCTGAGGCGCTCCTGGCGGATGGCACGGGGGTCTCGGGCAGATGGCCACTTGGATTCCCAGGTCAAGCCCCCAGCACTTGGCGCGGTTTTCCTCCGTGTTGGAGAGGAATGCTAAGCCCACCCTCGCGGGCACCCACTCCTGGGGGCTCTGCGGGGCCAGTTTTCTGTTCTCGTTGTGAGTATGGGGGGGAGCTGCTGGCCTTTTTGTCCCCCCCCGGCTTGGTTCTTAAGGCCTGTTTCCAGGGGGGACGGAGTTCGGCTTTGCTGATTTGTTGGCTTGTTATAGCAATGAGGCTGTGTCCAGGCAGACTCTCGCAGGCGGGCCTGTTGCTTCACTTTGGGATTGCTCAGAGGTGACCCTGGACAAAGCCAGCATGAGGTCCCACGGGTGTCCCCTGGACCCCAGTGGCTCAGGCCTCCCACCTCTCATGGGGCTTTGCAGTAGATGAGTTTGGTCCACACCTGCCCTAGCTAATTTTTCCCTACTTGCCTCAGGTTAGCTGGAGGGCTCTGTTCTCAGCCCCCAGGGCTCGGGGTCCTCTCTGTTTCAGTCTGCCCTCCAAACTCCCAGGGGCTGACAGCCGTGGAAGCTGACGCTTCTCAAACACCAGCATCAGCCATCCCCAAGGTTGGCCATTGCCATCCTCGTCAGGGAAAGCCATGACCCACGCCGTGGGTCCCGTTTGGGGCATCGAGCCCAGGAGTGGATGGACCCCCCTATTGGCACAGTCCTGGTTTAGGGAGCAAGGAAGGAGGGAAGTATGTTGGCTATTAGTTCTGATGAAGTAAGTTTGCCAAATAAAGGTCATTGAAAGCACATGCTTGGGGCTGGTGATTGACAGACGGGAGCATGGCTGGGCTCAAGAGGAGGGGAGAACATCGTAGAAGGGGCTTCCCAACCTGGCCAGAGTTGGTGTAGACCCCCCCATGAGATTCCACACTTCTCTGTTCCACCTCTTTTCTCCCCTCCCTCTTCTGCGGAGGAGAGATTGCTGGACTTACACATCAGGAGAACTGGGTTCTGAGATCGAGTCCAGTCAGTGACCCTTCCAGCTCAGAATCTGTGAGCCTACAATCATGGGCAAGTTAGGGTCTCTCAGAGCCTCAGTTTCCTCATTTGTAAAATGCATTTAATCATACTGTCACTGGCTAACTCCCTGGGCCGTCCTAGCACAGACTGTCTGGGAGTAATCCTCTTCTGCCTGCCTCCAGCCCCTTCCTCACAATGTCCTAAAAAGGTTATCCCCATTTTACAGAGGAGGAAACTGGGGCTCAGGAGAGTGATGGGATTTGTCAGAAAACACGTGACTGACCAGAACCTGAACTCAGATCTTTGGACTCGAGGGCGCCTTCCTGCTTGGCATTTATTGTCAGAGCTGGAAGGAACCTTAGGCCTGACTTCACAAAGGGGGACGTGGAGGACCCAAGATCACGTGGGCCTGGACTTGAACCCCGGCTCTTTCTGGAGTGGCACGCTGGGCTCCCGGGGGCACGAGCTCTCTCCGAGAGATGCTCTGCTCCCCTGGGAGGGCTAGGGACACAAGCCAGGACTGGGAGGCCAGGGTTTGAATCCCGGCCCGGCTCCTTACTGGTTGGAGGAGCCCTGAGCAAGGCACTTTCTCTCGTCCAGCATTGTGGGATCGATTGTAACTCAAAGGCCCCGGCTTAGAGGCTGCCTTCTGTCCCCCAGGGGCCTAAACCTGGGCTCTGTGAAGCTGGCTTTTTGGACAGTTGCATTCTAATACAATCTATTTCTTTGCAATCCTACATTTTTATGCTTTTAAGAACATGGTTCTGAAAAGGGCCCCTAGGTTTCACCAGGCTGCCCCAGAGCCCCGGGTGTCCAAGCCCCTTATTTCCCTGAGTGATTGTGACTTCCCTCCAAGCATGTGGGATCTAGGTTTAGGGGTGGGGGGCCTGAAAGGCCACCTAGCCTTACCCACTGCAGAATCACAGGACTGGGGAATTGGAAGGGCCTCATGACCACAAGCTAGCAGGAACCTTGGGCATTATCTAAGGTTCAGCCCCCTCATTGGAAGGAGGATGACATGGAGACCAAGAAAGCGCTTGTCCAGGGTCCCACAGGTAGTGAGCATCACAGCTGGGGCTGGAATCCAAGGGTTCCCCAGGTCAGGTCATACTGTCCCACAGCTAGGAAATGAACGAGCCAAGATTTGGACCCAGGCTTTCTGTCTCCCAGCCCAGTGTTCTTTCCATCGGAGCCTCAGCGTTCTCATCTGTAAGATGGAGGTTATAATGATCCCACTGTGCCTGCCTTACCGAGAGGCATCGGCTGTTCGATGGGGCTGGGGGAGGTGGGGGAGGGTTGTGTGGCTGGTGCTGAGATCCGAGACAAATCCAGCCTGAAGGATGCGGGCACAGCCGGCCGGATCCGGCTCCGAGCACGGACTTTTCCTAGCCCCCGTGCCCTTTCTAACAAAGAGCACAGCCGGACCCCGGCCGAGGAGTGGGCAGGATGGGGAGAGCGCTGACGTTCTAACTGGAGCCTGGCTCCCGCCTCCCCATTGGCTGCTGCGCCCCGCAGGGCCATGGCAGCAGGGACGGATGTGGCTGGCTGGGCGCTGATTGGCCAGCGGGTCTTAGCAACAGAGCAAGGCAAGACCCGTCTCCACAGCAACGGCGGCGAGGCACCAACCCAGCCCCAGCCCCACCTTGCCGGGAGACCCAGGCCCACGTGTCCTGCTCGGCTCGGGCTTGGGAGCAGCAGGGGCCTGGGGGACGTCAGGGGGGACTGTCTGGTGTTCTGGGACCCTAGACCTAGAACTGGGAGGGCCCTCGGAGGCCAGCCAGGCCAACCCCCTCATTTACATATAGGGAAACTGAGGCGGGGGAGGGGGAGGGACTTGCCCAAAGCTATAAGATCCCAGGCCTAGAACTGGGAGGCGGTCCAGTACAACCCCTTTGTTTTACATATAGGGAAACTGAGGAGGGGGAGGGAATTGGCCAAAGCTTTAGGATCCCAGATCTCGTCTGGGAGGGTTAGGGTGGATAAATGGCAGTCATGGACCAGAGCTCTCTCCTCCACACCATGTACCTGGAAGTTGGGGACCCTTGGCCACCGCAGGCCAGCAGATGAGCTCCTGGCTTTGGCCAGAGGTCCTTGGCATTGGGGCTTGGGAGGGCAGGACAGAATGGCCCCTGTTTCAACACGACCCCAGACTCTCTGTGCCAGGCCTGCTGTGTATTCTAGGCTCTTCCTCTGGGCCTCAGTGATTCACTGCCCCTCTGCCCTACCTGCCTGCTGTGGTTTGGCAGGCTCTCTCCTGTTGGCCTGGAGCAGATCAGCTAAGGGAAAGGGGAGCCTAAGGCTGGGGTGTCTGCAGAGGGAGCTAAAAGGAGGCCCGCAGAACCGGGAGGCTGGAGGCTGCTAGAACCACCCTTAGACCCTCCTCTGCCCCCCATCGGCTAGCCTCTCTGGGTCTCAGTTTCCCTTTTAACATAATAAGCTAGAAGACCTTTAGCTCTGAAGTTCTGTTACTCAAAATCTGTGATTCGAACACTCTCTGATTCTCAGAATCTTCGACTAACATTCAGATTCTTAGTCTTGGATTCTCAGAGACTCGCATTCTCTGATGCCCAGAGCCTCCATTTCCAAGTCTCTTGTTCTCAGGGGTTAAGGGGAAGGAACAATCATTGACTTAGCTCTTACTGTGTACCAGGCACTGTGCTAAGCTCTTCACAACTATTATCCCATCGTCACAACAACTCTGGGAGGGAGGGGCTATTATGACCCCCATTTTGCAATTGAGGAACCTGAGGCAGACAGAGGTTAAGTGACTTGCCCAGGGTCCCACAGCTAGGATGTATCCAAGGTCAGATTTGAATTCAAGTCATCCTGACTTTAAGACCAATGTTGGGGCTATTCTTGGCCCCACTGGTATATCCACATGTGACTATGTATAGAGGAGACAAAACAGAATCCCGGATGCCACTTAAGGCCAGTTCTGGGGTAGCCCTGGTATTACTTGGTTAAAAGTGATGGCCCTCAGGGGACAAAGATTGGCTTCCTAATGGGGACTGGTGGCGGCCTTCTCAGCCCAAAGCTCTCTTGTCTTGCTTTCTTGAGCAGTTCCCACTAAGTCTGGATCTTTGGTCATTTTCATGCTGGGGTTCTCAGCTGGGTAAAATCAATCAATTTTAAAAAGATGATGATTCTAAAAGCCTTAGATTCTAGATTTTCAGCCCAATCCTCCACCTATGGTTCTAAGATTTGTTGATCCTAAAAGTCTAACATTCCACGATTCTATATTCTGAGATTCTGTGATTCTAATATTATAAGAGTTTATCGTTCTAAGACCACGAGTCCAAGTTTCTTAGATTCTGAGCCTGTAATGCTCTGATTCTAAGTACTTCAGGTCTCCAATTCAAGGGCTGTCTATCTGGGATTCCAAATGTCTACGATAACACAATTCTAAGAATATGATTTAATGAATCTGGGATTCTCCGTCTATGATTCTTCCCATCAATGATTCTCTGATTCTGAATGTTGGATGTTGTGTTCTGGGTCTAAGTGTGCTCATGTATCTAAAGAGAGAGAGGCTGATGAAGGGGAATAAGGGAAGGTTTCCTGGATTTGAGATGGGCCCTGAAGGGTCCAATTGAATTTAATTCAAAAAGCCTTTATGTTCCAGACACTGAGCCAGGGTTAGAAAGACAAGGACAGACTGGTCTGCACCCTTGAGAAGCATATGTTTGGGGTGGGGAAATGCCGAGGAAGACGAAGATTTTGGAATGGGGGTGAGGGTAAGAGAGCATTACAGGGAGTCGTCAGGTCAACAAGCATTTATTGAAGGGCAGCTAGGTGGCACAGTGCACCAGCCCTGGGTTGAGGAGGACCTGAGTTCAAATCTGGCCTTAGACACTAGCCGTGTGACCCTGGGCAAGTCACTTCACCCCAAGTGCCTCTGACCCTATCCCTCCCCCACAAAAAAACCAAGAATTTATTGAGTTCCCACTATGAGAGAGGACAGCTTGAACTGGAGAAGGCGATGACCCTGGCCCGTTTGTGGGACAGAGAGGAGAGGGAGGTGACTGGAGCAGAAAATGTGTGTCCAGGACAGCAGGAGATGAGGGATGGAAGGGGCTGGGGCCCTTTTTCCTTCCTTCCAGCCTGGCTTCAGGCCCACTCCATGCAATTCAGCACCGTGGACCTTCTGTCCATTTCCTGACTGCC